CACGCTGAAACAGATGTGGCGAACTACGAGTTGAATACAGAAGTACAAGCTTGTGATTTAAATATTATATATGCTGATCTATCTCGGCCGAACTAAAAGCTGAATACAGAACTACAAGCTTGTATATCGCTTATTATATTATCTGAGCCGAACAACAAGCTGCAAAATTGCTTGTTTTATTATATACTAGCTTGTAACTCAAAATTGTGTATGCTGGTGTATTTGGTCCGAACTACAATTTGAATATTCAACTACAAGCTTGTTATTTAAGAAATAATATATCCCAAACTGTGATTTTATCGTTCAATAACATCACTGTTTGGAGTTCGGATGCGAGGAATTATATCACGAGGGCGTAGCCCGAGTGATATAATGATGCGCATCCGAACGACAAACAGTGATGTTATCCAGCGATAAAATCACCGATTTGGATATATTATTTCGATTCTAACACGACATAAACAAATAATTGCTGCCGTACCTGCTATCAAGCAAAATTGCGCCTGATTTGTTTCCGTACTTATTGTCAGCGCGTCGGATTTTATAGTGGTTACGTCACATGTATAATGATTACGTCACATGTCTAAATATAGAACGTCAAACTGCATAATAACACACACTTTCGGTTCTTCTATGTTCAATAGGGAAAAATGCGGGTCGTGTTAGAATCAAATATAACGTATGCTGATGTATTTGGTCCAAACTACAAGCTGAATACCCAACTTCAAGCTTGTAATTCAAATATTGTGTATGCTGGTGTATTTGGTTCGAACTACAAGATGAATACCCAACTACTAGCTTGTAATTCAAATAAAGAAATAGAGGACATTTGTTTGTTTTGCATGTAAGATTGAAATATAATTTCACTGAGTGAACACCAGATGCAATATTTTCACGAGTGGTGTAGCCACGAGTGAAAATATAATAGCTGGTGTTCACGAATGAAATATATTTCAATCTTATATGTAAAACAAATAAATTTTCTTTTTATTTCATGCTTTTTAAGTGATTTTAAGTTGTTTTTTTTGACTGATTTTGCCGCGTAACGTCGCGCATTCTCCTTTGTGACGTCATTACAGCATGACGTCACATCATCAATTTTGAAACATAGGTCTGTTAAATTTCACTAATTGTGCTACATTTTTAACATGATGTATGATTACATCGACTTCTGTTTCTTAAAGAAGCAACATTTACGCATGACGGCATTTATTTCTGCCTGTTATTCCATGTAGTTTGATTTTCTATTCATCCGCATTCAGATATAGTCCGGCTACAGTGAAAATTATATTTTATAAATTTCACTAGTGGTTTATCAGAATATAATCATCTGATATATTACAATAAAACACTGGAAAGCATGAAATAAACTGAAATAAATAATATAGATCTAAGTGTCCAGCTTTATTTGTAATCCAATGAAAACGTTGTATTTCTTAAAAGTTCTTTGTGTAAATTTTCATAGAAGAACAAAAGTCGATGATATATAAAAGTCCGTTCATAGCAGCATTATCATGTTTTTTGATATTATATATATGTTTATGTCATACACTGTTCGTTAGTGTGCATGTTTAATGTCCTCATTGGCTTTTAATTCCTATTGGAATAAAATAAAATGTCTACTGTCTACTATAATAATAACAAGAGGGCCATGATGGCCCTGAGGTCGCTCACCTGTATATAGCCCCCCCGGGCCAATTTTTACCCAAGGGCTTTTATTTGAACAGACTTGGTAGACACCCATAAGAAGATGTTTCATGCTAAACATCTAAGTTCTAGCTCATTGGGTTTTTTAAAAGAAGATTTTTAAGTTTTTACTATACACATATAGTTAAAAACAATGACACCCCTGGGGCAGGGCCAGTTTTGACCCCCGGGCTTTTATTTGAACAAACTTTGTAGATATTTACTTAAAGATGTTTCATGTATAATATCTAAACTCAAGCTATTTGGGTTTTTTCAAAGAAGATTTTTAAGTTTTTGCTATACAGATATAAGGAAAATCAATGACCCCCGGGGCAGGGCCAGTTTTGACCCCAGGGCTTTTATTTGAACATACTTGGTAGACACCCATTAGAACATGTTTCATGCTAAATATCTTAGCTCTAGCTCTTTGAGTTCTTTAAAAGAAGATTTTTTAAGTTTTTACTATATGCATATAGGGAAAATCAATGACCCCCTGGGATGGGGCCAATTTTGACCCAAGGGCTTTTATTTGAACAAACTTGGTAGACATTCACTAGAAGATGTTTCATGTCAAATATCTAAGCTCTAGCTCTTACGGTTCTTTAAAAGAAGATTTTTTAAGTTTTTACTATATGCATATAGGGAAAATCAATGACCCCCCAATTTTGACCCCAGGGCTTTTATTTGAACAAACTTGGTAGACACTCACTAGAAGATATTTCATGTCAAATATCTTAGCTCTAGCTCTTTCGGTTCTTTAAAAGAAGATTTTTTAAGTTTTTACTATATGCATATAGGGAAAATCTATGACCCCCTATTACCTTAATCTCATCCATGCGTTTCTTGCACCTCAATGTAAACAACACCCCCGCATGGTCACTAAATTCATTGAATGAATCAATAGTAAAGTTACATAATATATTAAAATAACATTCTTTTGTTAATAAATAATCGATAACGGACGCCCCGTTTGTATTTGCGAAAGTGTACATACCAGACATATCATTAAATAGACGACCGTTAACAATGCGCAAATTGTTTGCTTTACAAAGATCAAGAACCTTGACCCCAAAACTGTTACAGGATTTATCCATTGAGGCCCGTCTTAATGGTATATCGGGAACATAATCAATATCATCCAATATTTCTATCAAAAATATCACATGTTATAAAATCATGTTTATTGCCAACGCGACTATTCCAATCTCCAACTAAATATACTGAACCTAAATTTTCAAAGTCATATATATCATTTTGTAAAATATCAAACAAGTCAACAGGGACAACACTATATGCTGGTGAATCTTGGCACCAAATATATAAACCACATATATAAACATCAGATTCAAAATGAAAAAACAAACGGTTTAACTTCAACCAAATAATAGTGTCATGATGTGTGCGAACCACTTCTATACCTGGCTTTAGACTTTCTTTAAAATACAAAACAGTACCTCCACTACATCTTTTCGCACTTCTATTTTGGAACTTTCTGTAAAAGTTATGAGAAACATAATTTGAAAGTTCAATATCACTATCTTTACTGGTCCAAATGACACTTCATCTGCACTTGTATACATCACGGCGAAATTAGATTAGCAGACCCTATATGCCAAATTACTTGTGCATATTAATACGACCTGGTATTAAACTTGCTCTCCGCTATTTTTACATTAATCTTTAAAAAAAGATCGCTAAATTATAATAACTTCTATACAATAATGCCCCAAATGGTCATCACCATATCTCAGATTACATGCATGTATCAGTCAGGTATATAATACACAAAAACGTGCTGCAAGAATGATTCTATATATGACCATCCATCCATTCAGTTATTTAGTGAATGAAACTGAATTCCATTCAGAACTCGAAAAAAACTATTATATTGGAATACTTATACACAAGACGTTAAATGATGTAACATCAACATACATGAAGGATATTAAAAGACTTGCACAAAAAGGACAAAGTATGTTCTACGAAAGTTGAAAAACTCGCGAATGATGTAGCACACCAGCCCTATGTTAGAATTCTCAATTTTCCGGAAAAGCATATTGCTGTAGGCAAATGTGCAATGGTATTCCTGTTAATGTTCGTCAAAAATGATGCAATTTCGATACAAATTTAAAAGATAGCTCCATAGCCGCAGCCTTCACTGATTAATATGTTTTGCTTCTAACGTTATTCATACGTGTTTTTCTTTTGTTAATAGTTTAATGTTTGATTAATTTTGTTTTAAGCAATGTTTGTTTAAGTGATTGTCCGAATATAGATAGGATTTATCAAGTTACCTTCAGTAAATTAAGTAGATTTATTTATTCATTCATCTATGCACTGATAATGATGGTGTCTTGTTTTAAAATAATAAAAAGGATACTTTTAAAGACCTGTTTTCTGTTGACGATATATTATTATTTCATATATAACCTTCACGTGGTTAAAGCCTGATAACAGCAATAAAAGCAGTTTTTTACCATAAATAAGCGGTTATTGATATATCCGTATTTTTATGTTGTTACTGTCACTATCTACTTATCAGGGGCTAAACTAGGCGTACTTCTGTAGCCCGTGCGTACAAATCATCTAAGTCTCAGTGTGGTGTATGTGATGGACTAACGTAATATTGACAGCACCGTCTAGCGGCCCCGCTTTTTTCTGACGGAAGCAATTTTTCTTAGCAAGCAAGGCTCTGTACCTAAACTTTGAAGCATATGAAAATTTCATATATTAATTAAGTAATATATTGACTGATCATTGTGGGTGACATCATGCGCTGTAATTTATGAATTCATGAAATTATGACGCAGTATAATCATACTAAAAAATAATACTGTTTACAAAAATATGTAGATCTACATTCATTCATTCTTGATAAATTATTTTCAGTCTCAGTTGAGAAAATTCTCAAATGTTGAGAAACAGTTTAACCAGTTTCAAGCCAACTTGAGATTTTTCTCAGGTGAGTAAGAATCTCAGTCAATATTGAGACAATCTTATGTTGAGATTTATCTCAGTTTGAGAATGTTAGTGAAAGCCGGGCGAGCTAGTAAAAGTACTAACTTAGATGCACATATAGAGTAAATTATATAATAAATAATAGAGGTATCTGCTGGTACATTATCATACAGATATTATATCACATAGATGTATCCCGATATATATATATATTATTTTTGAACCATATAAGTTTTACTGAACGTTAAGCAGCACCTAAATCCCCCACACGTTGGGCGCAAATGGTCGCAGCTCAAATACAACTTTGCTGTCCGTTTAAAAGCAGGGGTCACGGAGTTTGTAAAAAATGACAAGAATGCCTTCTCTCAATATTTATTGTTTTTCTAAAGAAACACTAACTTGCAGCAACAATTTCTCAGTTAAAGTGCACATTGTGCAAATTAGCAAAACAAAATAAATAAACAAACAAATAAATACATAAACATTTATAAAAAATACTACTAAGAATTTCTAAGGTTATCGCCCATGAGCTACAAAGGTAGAAATTTATGTTTTAAATTTTACAAAAGCAAATACGTGTATACACACGTATACTGGTTATCTTTAGTAATAACGACAAGCAATGCACATATATGAAAGATAATACTGAAAATATGTATTGTATGTTTATGTACTTTAGATAAAAAACAATTTTACATAGTTTACCGTTGTATATGTTTGTATATATCATAAATATATACTAGTATATAACTACGTTTACATATTAATTACACAGTTAATATTTGACTTTGTTCATTGTATATGTATTTCCTTCGTTTTATAGCCGCTGTATATAACCTATACATTATCCTCGTGCAGCCCTTGTTATGGCAATTATCACAGTAAAGGATGACTGTCATGGGGAAGTCAAGGATACCTAAAAATGAGATAAAATAATAAGGTTGTAAAAAACTTAAAATTGTTTAATACAAATTTTTTTAAAACTTTAAGGACAGAAAAATTTACAATGAAGGAAAACAATACCCAAAATAGCTACATTTTTTGGTCAATTAAATGTGTTTCATATAGACACCTGTTCTTATTTTTTATGTCCAGTGATGTCCAGACAACCAACATGAGTTTATAAGCAAATTAACATTCTGCAACCTCATTGTAGCGAAATCGGAAGTATAATTTAAATTGCATGAGAATCTCCGCCTTTGGGTTGTTCGTACATCAATAGAAAATCAACAAACATTTTTAAGTAGCAGTCCAAATTCAACGGTATATTTTCGTACAAATTCGATCTTTTTATGGGGTGATTAGACAGGGCTAATGCACCGTGAAACTAACACTGTGCATCTCTGTGCATACCATTTAAATATGACACATTTAAAATTGAAAGGTCGTTTTATGCAATTTGAGTGCGTTTAAAATAAGAATCAGATATACTTTTTTTCTAAAACTCTCGATATAGCAACTAGGATATAAAAACTACTGTTGTATATTACACTAGTTAATACAATGCTTTCCGTCCTTTAAAACCGTTATGCAGAGTTGTAATGGAGGGTTAGTCCATAAAAATGTAAAGCGATGAACAGCCATGTCTCAGAATGCCTTTTCAGTTTGAAATAAAATTGAATTTTACATATAATAATATTTTCCCCATGATATGAACATCAAAATACAGAATAAACGCTTGCTTCAGTTTTCAAATGAACATGCCTTTACTTGTTTAACATCAATTCCATTATTTGCTAATTAAAGAGATCCTTTGCAATGAAACAAAAATATTATGAGGTTGGAAGGCAAAACCTTTCGACAAATACACACTTTCATCATAACAAAGAAAGGACAAACATACATTGCAAGGTCCCGCTAGAATGTGCATCAGCTACGTACAGCACATTGCTTATTGTCGCGGGAATCATTGATCGTTGTCGCCCAGACGCTCTCTTTTGAATCCCCCTCTTTTGTCGGCTACACGAGGTCTGCAATTATAATATTAAATGAAAGCAGAGATCATTTAAAAAATCATCTTAGAAAAATGTACATGTATTTATGAAAAACAAGACATATCGATAGTGACGATGGATGCTCATCAAAACTGCACTTTAGTACAATAATTCAAAATATGTAAAAAAAATCTATTTTAGCATAATTGGCAAATAGAAAATACATTCGTCAATAAATCAAGGCTATATAGGGAGAAACATCTAATATAAGCACAGATGACCTTGACCCAAGTGGCCCTTAACTCTACCCGAAGTAAGACCATGTAAGGTATATCAATATCAATTATGGAAAACATCCGTCAAAAGATAAAGGTAAGCAAAAGTATAAAATCTATTTTGAGCACACGAATCCTTGACCTCGACCAAAGTGACCCTAAGCTTCATCCAAACTTGTTTAACCACTTTTATCATTAACCTACCAAATATGAAAGACTTCGGTCAATAAAAAGGCTGTATGTGCTAATGTAAAAAAAGCATTGGTGACCTTGACCCAGTGCTCTCAAACTGTATCATAGGTAGAGGACCACATTAGGTATATTTCAGATCCGTTAATAAATAAAAGCTGTGTAAGCAAAAGTATAAACATTTATTGTAAGCACTGGTTTACATAATCTTCCCCAAAGTAAATCCAACCTTCACCCATCCTTAGACCAAAGGTACCTAGCAAATATGAAATACGTCACAATTTATAATGTTAGACATCGGTTAGTAATTAAAGGCTGTATGAGCAAAAGTGTAAAAATCAATTTATTATCACTGGTGAATTTGGACCTAAAAGTCTGGATAGTGTGATACCTGGGAAATCTTACAAAGCGCTATTCGACGTATCTACCTACCAAACGTTATAGATATCGGCCAATAAATGAAATTGGTAGGAGAAACAGAAAGAAAACCACAAAAAAGTTCGGAACTACGGAAGGACAAAGCGGCGACTTTAAGCTTCACAATTTTTTTTTCGGGGAGCATAAAAAGCATCACAGTAGCGTTACATTTGAGAAAATTACTTGAACATGCGCAAAAGCATCCAGTTTAAGTATTATTTCCGTTATTGCTATGTGTACGTGCGTATTTGTGCGTCTGTGATTGTGCGTTTGATTAAGTTGTCTTGGTTTTAGCAATCATTTAGCAATCATTATTTCGTGTCATAGACAGCAACACCTTAAATCATTCAGAATTTTTATAATCCGGCAATTTAATAAACATTTCATAATTCTAAATAAATCTTTATGTAGCGGTAACTCGAGGTCATACTTGTAACATGTACGCTGTAAGATACTGATATGATAAAATGACAGCATATGGTATTTTAAATATCTCAATTTTACCAAATGTCAGGATAACTATTCAAATAAATAAATAAATAAAAATAAATAACTATTAAAAGAAAAAACAAATAAAGAAAACAATCCTTACAATTATGAATTATTTTAAAGGTAAACAACGAATGAAAAAGTCATGCAATTATTTTGTATTGACAAATCAATGTTTATGTCATATCATGAATTTTCAGCTTGCAGAAATCATCAGTTTATCCGTTTTGATAAAACAGCAGGAAGGTCCACCTATCATCTTTTTAAAGGCAAACAATAAGGTGAAGTTTTGCGGAAGACCTTGAGGTAGAATAAAATATTAATATAAAGCGTACACGTAGACAGACGTACCGATCAATCAAAGTTGGGTCTGACTAACAGACAAAGAACAAAAATTGGGATTCCCCAGTTAAAGCCTCCTCTACCATAATGTAAGTGGAACAATAAATTCAACATAAAATGTTTTTTACATACCATACAAGCTGGTTCCAAGAATTTTGGACATATTTTCACACTGCGAAATTCCCCAAAAGTAAAAGCCAATCTTCAATAGTTTTGTAAATTTTGGAAGGCTTGATAAAATTGTTTTGGCCGTGGCAGTTTCCATTAAATAACTGGTTAAGTTTAACTTTTAATATCCGCCTATGAAAGAACATCTTGAAAAATAAATTTTGTAACAAAAATAATTAAAAATATATAATGCATGTTCTTTTTACAACTTTATCAGTTTTAAATTTTAGTTTAAAAGGCAGTATCAAAATTGTATTAGAATTTGGGTGTTTTTCGATGCTAAAACCCTAAAACCTATTAGACCGATTTGATAATACGCTTGATAAAATAGACATTTCGTATATTCACAATAAATAAATACTTTCTCTTGTGGTTCCAAGCATAGTCAAAGTTCGGTTCCAAGCATGTAAATATTTTCTCTTGTGGTTCCAAGCATAGTCAAAGTTCGGTTACAAGCATAGTCAAAGTTCGGTTCCAAGCATAGTCAAAGTTTTGTTATGAGTTCTGAAGAACATATTCCTGAAACGGGTTTTAAAACAATCCCACAATAAATCAGATGAGTCTTATTAACTGATTCAATATTTAACAATATTGCAAGAAATGTCAATATTAAAATTTGAAAATAACTGTAATCATTAATGTATTACAAAATGATGATTAGACATACCCGCCATTAGAGATCAAATTGACATAATCCTCGGATGAATCATCGATGCCCGGATACGCTGTACAGCTGCTCACTTTTCTAAGTTGTAGTGTTCTTTTTGAAAAAAAAGTATAACAAGAACGTGTTTAGTGAATACAAAATGTCCCCGGCTCATATAAATCGGTATCAATAAACATTTTCCAAAAACGTTGCTCATTTTTTGTTCAGTTAAGGGGAGGAAAATGTGCTTAACACAGTTATCTGTGATGACACAGTTATTAGACTTCATTTGTCATAAACTTTGGCTACTGTCAACAAAATGCAAGTTTGACATGTCAGAATGTAGAAAAAAATCAACTACGATCTTTACATTGACCCAATGATCCCTAACTCCACCGGAAGGCAAAAAAAACACCCAAAACATGTCACCATTAAACAGGGAATACATCACCAATTTATAGATAAAGACCGAATTTATTTTTTACTCCAATGACTTTGACCCAGTCAGCCAAAACTTCATCCACCTATCAGGTATCTACCAATCAAAAAAAGTACATGTTTGTAACTTGTTAAAATAGGTTAACTTTTGTCAGAATCCTTGTTTTTAATCAGTGATAAATAAGGAAATAACAGGGAATATGGGAAAGGAAAAAAGTTATAAAATGTAAAAAACATGTTTTCTTTAATTGACAAATTTGGGACATTATGAAAAAACGGGGGACGGACGGACGGGAAAACCCCGGAAACCCCCAAAACGCCCAACATTTTTTTTTTCGCGTACAAAAATTTTTTAAACTAAAGGGCCTTTAAAATTTTTACCACAAAATCCCTAAATTTTTATATAAATTTAAAATTTGGGAAACAGTTTTTTGTCCCAAAAATTTTTTTCACTTTTCCCCAAAAGTTTGTTTTTAAATCGCCCCCCTTAGTTTTTGGGGTTGGGCCCCGCTGTATAAAGGGTTTAATACTAATTTGGTTTCCCTCTATAGTCAAACCTGGTTGGGGAAAACAAAATTTTTGGGAACTGGTTTACAAATTTAGTGTTGTCCCCATTTGAAAAAGGCTTAAATAAAATAACCGGATTTAATTAACACTTACAGAACTTGAACAGAGCTGACAAAGGATAGCAAAAACGGACATGACTGCTTAATATGCCCAAATATGCCTTTATTCTTAGCAATGAAGATTATAAATTGTCCACAGAAGAATCGAGACTAACGATTGGAAGCTAAAGTTTTAGTGTTAATTACTTTATAGACTGAAGAAGATTTTTTTAAAGATGTTACTGTATATACCTACAAGAAAAATCCATCACCCCTATCCCCGGGATGAAACCAATTTAGACCCCAGAGTCATAATTTGAACATATCTGGTAGAGGTCCGCTAGACAAAGTTTCATGCTAAATATCTAAGCTTTTGCTTAAAGAAGATTTTTAAAGTTTTTAATATAAATGTAATTATACATATCATTACCGCCCTGGGATTGGGCTCATATAGACCTCATGGCTATAGTTTGAATAAAATTGGTAGAGGTCCACTAGACAAGTTTTTCGCCTTAGCCTTTATAGTTTAAGTTTAAGAAGAAAAAAACCCTTTTTAGATATGTTTTACTGTTATATGTTTCATCCTAAATATCTAAGACCAGACATGGCAGTTTTCATTTTGTGCACAGGTGTGCAAAAACAACAATTTTTGATAGACCTATATTTCTATATTTAAGATAAAATTCTTACTGTGCTGAATAAGAATTGTTGACTGTATGAATAACTCCTTGCTCGGCAATCTCTAGACAGACGAATTTTACTATCACAGTTTTACCACCATGTAATTTATATGTAGCTATTTCACTGTATGGCCCGTACGTTATAATGATTTCTTCATTCTGTGCAGAATATAATGTACATTGGTATTTTCATTAAATACTTAACAGTGTCACTGATTATATAAAAAAATCAAAAACAAAAACGAAACAATGCTGTTTTCAATGTCTTATTTCTGAAGTAATACACTTAGCAAAACAAAACAAAAATGCTTTAAGAATTTACTTAATATCAACATATTCATTAAAATTTGGAATAGTATATGCATAGGCAAAGACAATATCTACTAAGAAATAACAACCTAAAAGAAAAGATAGTCCACTTAATGAATTATCTAGATTTGATCTAAGTTGGTAATATAATATAATATAATCTAGATGTGATCTAATATAATAGGGATGGTGGGTGTGATAAACTTGTCAGTTATCACAATTCTCAGTAGTAACTTAAACCACTCCCTATCCTGATTATTTCAAGATACCGGTCAGAATGGTCCTGGTTAGTACATACAATATATATGTTATAAAGTGGGATCAAGACCCATTCAATATCTAACGTATAAGTTTGCGACCTCAATTCATATAGAGAGTTGAAGAATTTGGCTTTGAATTCGCTTCTACAGTATGTTCCAGACAGATTGTTCAGAAACTGTGCAGACCAATAAATCTAAACCATGTATTGTTCATTAACATGGTATGCATTGACATAATCGTTCATATTGTTGTTGTCCTGACCTACTGTGTAAGGGACAACATATGTTGAATGTATTGACAGTGACAGTGCCATTCAAAATCAAATTTCGTTATGATGTTAGCTCAAATAATAATTTACCCGTTTCCTCATTTAGACTCATCAGAGTCAATAATTGACAGCATTTGGGTCGTCTGAAGCGGGCCTTAGCCACTTAAAGCCTATTTTGACTGGCTAACAAATAAACGAGGTTTTTTACGAGGGCTTGTGCATTCTAATCCCGAGTCTAGAGTCTCTAAGGCATAGTCAGGGATGTGAAGTTCACATTAAATGTAGAAAAGCTACTCCATCGGTATACCAGAAATAAACATGGAGAGGAATTCAATGCCTTTCTTTATAAAGCAAAATTGTGAGTTTTGCAAGGGACTATTGATATTTGCATGGTTAATAGTCATGGGCATTGTTAATTCAAGGCTGAACCGATGGAATAAATTATAATTTAAATTAATAATCCATGAAAATATCAGAATATCTTAACATATAATACAAACATACATTTTGTTTTATGTAAAAAGGAGCGGCTGTGGAAAATGAGAGAGAGATTTCTTATCCTCTCACAGAGCGGCACATTTAGCAAGTAAATAAAATTGTTGGGATGCGCATTTATCTCCCTTGAAAATGTAACAACTTGGCAGATTATAAATACACAATGGTGTTTTATTTGCGGAAAGCTCATAACAAAAATCGCTGTATAAACATCAAGGAAATGTTTTGTTTCGAATGAAAGTCACAGTGTTTTATAAAACTGAAAAGATAATTTGTCTTTTTCATTTTTACGTTCATGGTTCAATGATACTCAAATCTAAAACTAATGCAATTTACAATTGCAACATCAAATTGATTTTGTGTAGTGTGATGCAGAAAAGCATTTCAACTTAAAATGTTTCCAATGTCAGAATTATCTTAGCATTTTTATACCTTTGAACATCCTGTTAACGTCACAGTTGTCGCATTTTCGTCATGCACTGTACATAGTATGTCATTTCCGTTCGTGACGACTTGCATGGCAAATAGGTAACTGTCGTCTGGTAGATTGAACACATTAATACTATCGTCGGGATTACATAGGTATTCCAACTGTGCTAAAAGATACATCGAAAGATGAAATTGTAGAATAAACAAAAACATGTATAGAATAATAAGAAACAAATACTTCCGCAGCCCTTGTTCTTGAAATAGGTTTACACATTCGGTATTTCACCCAGTCAATTTGTTTGTTTGTTTGATTGGTTTTACGTCACACCGACACAGTATAGGTCATATGGCGACGTTCAAGCTTTACTGTTGGAGGAAGACCTCAGGTGCCCTTCCGTGCATTACTTCCGGCACGAACCACTGCCACGGATGCCCCTCACCCAGACAAAATAAACTATTCACACAATTAGCTTGACAAATCAAGACTTTCGTTCCTGACAGAAAGAGAATGTTAACTGTCAAACATAAATAAACGCAAGACATTAAACCCAGTGTCTCCATCAAAGTGAGAGGACCACCTTTGCGTTGGTTTGAAGTTTATCAAGTTTACTTCTCATTTACTTTTTTGAATTATCATTCGGAAAAAAAACTGGAATGCAAGGACTGACGGAGAGTATTTCATACCCCTCGCCTCGATATACACTGATTACTTCAGTAGTCATAATAAAAAACTTATCTTTATGTACATACAAACACACGAATATCCATTGCCCTTGTATCCCCAATCGCAGGTACACGTGAAACTGCCAGCAGTATTGTCACATCTAGCATTTGAAGAGCAGTTATCGATACCATCAGCGCATTCGTCTATATCTGGTTGAACTACTTGAACCCCTGAACAAACAAGATTGTTATGATAGCTGTTTTTATCAAGTTATAGTAACAAAGTTTTATGATTTTGTTTTTGTTTTTTGTTGTTGTTTTTTTTCAATAATAAAAACAATTTATTTTTTGCGAAGCATTATGCAAGATTGTCCGTACGTTCTGCTTACGATGCATCATTCGAATACTTTTGTAGTTAACGGCTTTTATGGTTTACAGTATTAGGTAAAGGTTATCAATCTACTACGTAGTGATCTCCCCTTATCAGTACAGAGATTTCTGCCATAAAAACTCCTCACAGTGATAACCTCCTTGGCAGAATTGTAATCACTGCCTTCACAGACGTCACGTGATGATGAAAGTCACATGACGTAACGTCGAAATTCAAATGAACATAGAAAATCTAACGTCAGTTTTCTCTTTCTGTTTTATTTTTAACTTTACGTACCTACGTTCGTTATATAGTTTATCAAGACTATACAAAATAATGAAAAATACATTCAAAAGCTAAAAAATATAAAATATGTAAATATTGATAAAAATGTCTGTAATGGCAGAGATCTCTGTACTGATAAGGGGAGATCACTGCGTAAAGGATTTCTCTGCCATTACAAACATTTTTATCAATATTTTGATATTTTATATCTTTTAGCTTTTGAATTTATTTTTCATTATTCTGTATTTTTTTGATAATTGTTAGATAAACTATAATAACGAACGTAGGTACACAAAGTTAAAAATAAAACAGGAAGAGAAAAATGACGTTAGATTTTTCTATGTAACGGTCGATATTTCGATGTTACGTCAAGTGACTTACATCATCATGTGACGTCTGTGAAGTTCTGCCAATTAAGGAAGGTAATCACTGTGAGGAGTTTAAAAGGATATATGCACTCAACTATCCAACACAGAATGACAGCGTCCATATTGGATTATATTGGATGGTCACGTGATACAATATAAAACAGTGATTGAATGATCATATTGTATATAGAATAATGATAAATTTAGGGTTATGTATCACAGACCAAGGTTTATATTCATTAATGACATTAAGAAAAGAATATGAAATGGTTACTGTATCACACGTCACCTATTCATTAGTAAAATAAAATAAAAATCGAATATGAATCGATTGTTCATTTAAACAACACAAAAACTACTGTCCAAAAGGCTCTCAGTTATCTTTACTAAGGACAAACATTATCATTTCAAGACTTGTTTTTAAATTATATTAATCAAAACGTGTATTGCAAACTTCGCCATCCGCCCGGCCAAACATGCACATGTGAAACCATTCATGCATGGATTGCTAAAAGACGTTTGATCAGTCTCACTTTGAATGCAGCACATTCCATTGTTTCACTTGTCCATTTTGATAGTGATAGTGTACACATATTGTTCCTAAAACTAACCACTTCTACCCCGGACGAATGTCACTGGTCTGGGATTAAAAGGCAGAAAAGTAGCCAATACACCAAGCTGGTAAACATTGATACATCTAGATTTGGCTCCGAACTACCATTGGTTTCTGTATGTTGGAAACAGTGTAACATGTTGATAATTTGTCTAAGGCTATTAATTACTGTTCCAGAATGGTCATATAAAAGATCTGATTCTTCCAGCATTACAGCTTTACAAAGGCGTCAAAATATTTACCGCAATTTGTTCCTTCCCAACGTCCGGCACATGTACACGTGTACCCGTTCTGTTCGTTGTTACAAGTTGCTCCATTCTGACATGGATTGCTCAAGCATTCATCAATATCTGAAAAACGTGTAAAAAAGAACTGTAAATTATTTGCATAAATTCATATGTTATTTAAAGTATTCGTGAAAATAGGCAACGTCAAAGTGTATTTCATGTCTATCTTTTATCTTTATGTTTGATTACAATATCTAACATACTTTACATTTTATAAAACATTGACTAAGCTAAATAATATCTGTCATATGTTATGGTTCGGATCGGAATAGTCCATTCGGCCGTAACTATGCTTGTCGAGTTGCCGCCCATGGACGGGTACCCTGGGGACGGATTTTCCGATGATATTTTTTAGATATTCTACTATAATCTATTATACCTTAAATTCTTGTTTACCCTAAAAAATAAAACTCATGAAAATTAATGTTATTTCACCCATGACCCATAGCGTATAAATTAATGACGCCGAAATGACGTCATATTCATAAAATGCGCATAAATTACGCCTTTGATAATAATACTAATAATAATAAGAATAATAACCTCTTTTTTAACAAAGGTAGCTTATTCAGACAATACATCAAAGATGACACATATAATGCAAAATCTTATTTTTAACAATGCCTTTAATAAACAATGCAAATGAAATTCCGATGAATAAATAACGAAATTTCCGGCATGACGGTGCCAGACGGAAACACCAGTCTGATCTTGTATGACGTGTTGATACGTCGTATGACGTCATGAAGTCAATCAACACCCTAAGCGTTTAGAAAATTACTTCCCTGCTTTAACTGAAACTTTAAATCGAACACATGTATGCACAAATGAAATAAGAGATAGCTTTTAAATGCGTAAGAATTATGAAGTCCTACGTAGGAATTATAAAGTCCTACGTAGGAATTATAAAGTCCTACGTAGGAATTATAAAGTCCTATGAAGGAGTTTTAAACTCCTAATTAGGCTTTTTTTACTCCTACGTAGGAGTTATCATTTTTATAGAACACATTAAATTGGCACCAGGACGCTTCCTTAATCAATTCCTTTTGTCTAAACACAAGACAAAATATCAATGCATACTAAATTTTTAATTTAATAAGAATTAATCACAATTCAAGGGAATTAACTCACACTTAAAACTGAAAAAGTAGACAATTGCCTACCTGTCAACCATTTTTGAAAATAAAAATCATTTGTGTATTAAACTATCTTTAGTTTTAGAAAAAGAAAGTTGAAATTATTGATTCTGGTTGAGAGGATAACGACGGATAGTAGTTTTAACGCTATTATAATTTATTTTAAATACTTTAAGTAATAGTCTTTCTGGCCTAGTGGATGTTATTGCTGAATGTAACTCAAGAAATCGGAGTTCAAATCTTATCTTATTGTTAACAGTTTTTTTCTTCCTTTCTTTTTTATTGAACGAATAGTTATCGTACAAAGTATAAATGATAATAAATATCAATACTTAAACAAAATGAAAAAATAAATTGTTTACATAAACAATATTTTAACTTGGAATTCAACAAAAAATGTTCTGTGTGTACAGTGAAATTTAAGCTACAAAATCACATTTTCATAGTCGAACTTTATCCAAAAGACGTGCGCTTTCAAAGTTTGCAAAAGAAAAACTTTATGAGTGAAGTCGCTTACTTACCATACGGAAAAAAACATTAGTTTTTAGCTCTTCTCAATACAGTAACTAGCAAAACTAAATGAGCTTCTACATGATCAAAACCGGGAATCCGTATCACACGACACTGTTAACATCAGAAGCCTTATAAATAAGAACCGGTTGAACCGGGGGATGCTCCCCGAGTATGTTTTAGACACAGAAAAGTATACCTTTTGAAGTGTCAGAGTGATGTCCCTGACAAAGTTCAAAGTGTAAAAACGAACAAAAGGGCAATTACTTCAAAATCAAGCATGGCAGAGTTAAGGTCCTTTTCCGCTGCACTTCTATTTAATGTGATCAATACACCTACAAACCTCTTATGGTTTCAGAGCTATGTCCCCAACAAAGTTCAGAGTGTAAAATTAAACAACGAAAGGGCAAAAACTCCAAAATTAGGCAAGGCAGAGTTATAACTCTTTTGCATTGCACTTCTTTTAAATGAGATTTATCTACCTATAAAGTTTCATGTTGATATCTCTAATAGTTTAAGAGTTATGTCCCGGACAAAGTTCAAAGTGTAAATATAAACAAAGGGCAATAACTCCAACATTAGGCAAGGCAGAGTTACTGTTCTTGTGCACTGCACATATCTGAGATCTCTACCTATACAGTTTCATGTTGATAGCTCTTGTTGTTTCAAAGTTATGTCCCGGACAAGAATAGCGGACAGACGAACGGACGAAGTGGCGACTATATGCTCACCATTCGAGGAGCATAAAAATACTGGGGTGGAGAAGTTGAATTGTATGGTAAGTTTACAACTTCACTTTGATAAATTAATTGTTTATTAATTTCATTTCATTCCGTTGTTAACTTACCATATGTAAATTACAAAGGGATAAATTAACAAACTTACATCAAAAAAGAGGTGGCCATAAATGAAATCGAAACAGTTCTCTAACATACAAAAACGCTGTCTGATTGCAATGGCTCAGAAAATTTTACAAAACTTTATAGGGTCCGGAGATACCAATGTCAAGTTTTGATCATGTCGCTCATAAAGTTCTGCTAGTTATTATAACATATTGAGGAGAACAAAATTCTAATATATGTGAGTGTTCATCCGTGCAGTTCTACACAAATTAGAAACTTCAACGGGAACGATAGCGACCGGAGAATGTTTCTAATTTCTGTAGAAAAGCTACAGATGAATACTACAAGCTTTATTTGGCTTACTTTATAACGTCACGACTATTTTTACAAAACATTATAAAAAATGGAAGGCGACTATGAACAGAATTTTATATAGTATCGAGTTTTTTCTTCTATGAAAATTAACACACAGACATTTGAAAAAATACACTAATATCTAAAAACGAAAACATATTACCTGTAGTGCACCTTTCGCCGGTCCATCCGGCCATACACGCACACGTGAATTGATTCTGATTATTTGAACATGTGCCACCATTCATGCACGGATTGCTCGCGCATTCATCAATATCTGAATGAAAAAGAAGACATTTTATCAACCTCATTTTTTTTAAATGTAACACATTCCATTGCTAACTTAGACCGTGTTAATTACAATAATTATGTACACTTTTTATATAACTAAACATTGTTTGTTCCATGTAATAATGTACAAATCTTTTTCTGATTACTTACCTCAACTGGTAATAAAGTTAAGTCTTAGCCCGAGTAGAGCCCTAACCAAAGTCACGGCCTTGAATTGACAGGTAGTGACCACACCTATTCGAACATCCTCGCAAACATTAATATAAAAGCAATAGTTATGATAACCGATTGGCTTCTTTGGAATGGAAACAATATTATACAATAAAGAAATAATATCGGTCTTAGCGGTGTTTATCGGCTATTTAACACCGGTTTGGAGTTTTGATGCGTAGGAATTGACAACGAAGGCCGTAGGCCTGAGTGGTTAATTTTTTCGCATCAAAACGACACAATTGTCTGAGGCTATTAATTACTTTTCAAGAATGGTCATATAAAAGATAACTAGTCATTTAAAAAAAAGCTTTACTAAGATGTGAACAGTTACCGATGTCGCAATTTGTCCCTTGCCAACCTCCGGCACATCTACACGTGTACCCGTTCTGTTCGTTGTTACAAGTTGCTCCATTCTGGCACGGATTGCTCAAGCATTCATCAATATCTGAAAAACGTGTAAAAGAATCATTAAATTTATGCGTCGATTTATACATGATTTCAAATGTTATATTTTACGTCAACATATAGTCTACGTCAAGGTAGGTTTCTATCCACCGACTGCATGTCAATTCAAAATCAAAGTGCTGCAGCACTGAATGCGACGGACATGCAACCGGAGAGACATTAATTAAGACTTCTTTTAGAAAAAAAAACAAAACACAAAATATATGACAGAGAAAATTTGTTCCATACAAGTTCGAGATTTGTAGAGCAATATATTTTGTGTCCCAAATTGATATAATTCAGATTTTCTACTTTCAAGCACTTAAATACAGAATGAAATTTATGCCTAAAAACTCTGGTCAAACTTGTAAATCAGTGTCCTTATCGATTTATTCTAAGAAATGATATGTAAATAGAAAAAAAACTATCAACGAAATATTTCTTGAATAAATCCAGGCAAATAAACTTCAAACATAATACATTATACATTTGAGAATGCTATTTAGATTTGCTTCGTGTTATATCATAGTGGGCATACAGACAATAAAATATAAGTCATTTGTATTTTTATTTCTCTTGGATATGTCTCATTAAAAAACAAATTGGTTAAAATCATCAGCAATTAATAGTGTATTTCTTAGATTTTTTTTTTATTTACAAGGTAAAGATGTAGAGGCCAGAGCACATCGTTTTTATTTTAATTTAAATGTCACTTAAGCACTACAGTGTTTAGTTGTCCTTTTCAACTTCACACTAAATTCCATTTTCAACTTGTTTGCTTCTTACAATTGTATAGCATTTCTAAAAGTATCGCATTACAATCCGCTGGTTTATTAATTACATGTTTAATGTGTACTTCCTAATCGCCTGTCCAAAAATTAGAACAGGTGAAGCAGAATCTATTTTTAGAATAGCGAAGGTTAATTCATATCATGACCTAGTAAAATATGTAAACAAACCACAAGAATCGGAAGTAGAACTGATATTATAACTTCCTTACCATGAAAGACTACATGGCGGTAAAGTGTCTTACATGCATTTTCAAAAATAGATATTTATACCAGCCATTGTACTGTATCTAATATATTAATAACTGCTGAATATTCAGCTAAACCCGCGGTATGAGTCACTCAAATAGTTCTTTTATTAATGTGCGAGTTATCCTAGAGTCACGAAAAACTTTTGATTTGTTAATAATAATGTTTTGTATAATGTAGAAATATTTATTTCCTACTAATAATGTCTTGGAACTCAGAGGTTACACCTTTATTGTAGTATAATTTGCTGTCCTACTTTTTCGACAGCGGTAAATCGTTTCAGCAGTAATTTGCATATTGTGCAATAATACTACGAGACTACAACGTTTTTATCAATAATATACGTTCCAATTTTAACTTGGATAACTTAATTTGAAATTGAAAAGGCTAAATATGGAAGACATTAAGATATCCAGACAAAGTATGTGAGTTTTGAAGGATCAAATTCATGTACTATTTCTTGGGCTGTTAATTGGTTTAGGACACATTGCGCGAGTGTAGCCAACGAAATCCCATGTGTAGATGACTTAGCTCTGAACGCACCTGAGGGCGCGTCCGTCGCAAAAAAGTCTACCATAATTTCTCTTTTTTCTAAATTAAACATTGACTAAGCTTATGGCAAAATGTTTACATAAAATTTTGAAACGTCAGTGACGTAATGACGTCAATAAACCACTTTGACGTTTGATTAATTTCTTCCCAGCTTTAATAGCAAATGGTTTAAATACTGTATATTTTATAAGCATATGAAAATGGGGATAACTTAACCTTCATTCAATGTCTTATGATAGGGTTAAAGCAGGGATCTCAGTCCAAGTGCCGAGTTGAATAATCACATCCAAATTAACATGATGTACAATATAGACAAACATAGTGAATATTGTATTCTGTTTTACTACTTATATTGAGTAAGAATCGTAAAAAAGTATGTCTATATCATACGCGTGCAGATTTGGCGGCTTCGTTATAACGGTATTAGTTTGAACTGAAACTGTTATAACGGTATATTGCACGATCACAAATGAAGTAATTTGCATTATACAAACATAGCTTAAAGACTTGCTAAATGTTAGTGCCACACTATAAGCGTGTCAATGGAAGAATGCGTATTCTTCACTTTAAACAGTTCTTATTTCGGGCATGTTATAGATATAAAAGGGGTAACTCTATTACTTAATTTATTTAACTCGTTAAATAAAATCAGTATATACAAATATTCAATGTCTTCTATTATTTATAAAGATTTTCACCTTTTAAATTTTTTTTCAACTCAAGTGTTATTTATGGTGGATGATTTAAGATATATTTGAATTTATTGTCATTTAACATAAACTTTAATTCTGAACTTTAAAGAACTTAAAAGACTATACAAATGTAAAGTGAAAATGTATTAACACTGAATTCATAAAACACGATACAGTTTATACTTGTCATGTATATAAGTTTACTTTATAAAATGATAATCTACGTGACTTTAATCATTTTGTTAATTAAATTTTAAACAAGAACTGTCGGAGGACAACGACGCTCGACTATTCGAAAAAAAATGTGTTTTATTGAGTATAATGATGCTTACCTATATGAATACGTAAAATTGTCCGAAAATGTACAAAGGCTTGTTATTAAGATGCTTTATCGAGTAAATCACTGCTTTATTATTATGAATGCATAAAATTGTCCCAAAAAAGGCACAAACCCTTCAGTAGTGATGGAGATACCAACTTAGAAGCAAAATTATGCAAATCAGAGTTATGCGACTTGTGCCAATCAAGTTAGATATTCACAGAGAACAAGTCTGTGAAGTTTCAATTCATTCCCTTCAGTAGTTATGGAGATACTTGCTTTCACGCAAAAACTTAACCACAGGGACGCCGACGCCGACAAATGGGTGACTGCATTAGCTCGATTATTCTGCGAATAGTCGAGCTAAAATGAATATTGATCTTCGAATTATATTTTGACAAGATTTAAAATGCGTTTACGTGTAAGAACACTTCCTCAAAAGTTGGTACTTATTTTTGCTAAGAAGAAAAAGTTTAAGTTGAAGTATTTATGATATTCAATAAAAAGAAAGCATTTCACCTGTTTTACAGTCTACGCCCGTCCATCCGGCCGCACAAGTACACGTGAAACGATTCTGGTCATTTGTACATGTGCCACCATTCCTGCAGGGATTACTTGCGCATTCATCAATATCTATATAAAGTAAAGACATTTGATCAGTCGCATATTACCACACGAAACACATTCAGTTGCAATACTATAGTCCGTACAACTTGCACTAATTATTTGCAGATCTTTTTTTATACTTACCACTTCTGGTTAAAACAGTTACTTTTGCTCAATATCTTATTCGGTTGATGATTAATGACTTGAATGACACGTTTAAGTTACGAATAAATTTACCCAGTGTAGTAACCATGTGCTAAAGATGTATGTAATATACTAACAAGCCTGCAAGAGCTTGTAACAGGAAATGCAGCTGTATACTTATGACCAAGAAGATCGGATACTTATAGATCTATGTCGTAAAATATGTATACATCTACATAATGTAAAACTCGTTGACATTTCTTTTCCAACTGCGGATACATTAGCATGTGCAACGGTTGTATTTATTGTGACACATGGCTCCATTTTGGCAAGGGTAACTGGCTCATTTGCTTGTATCTGAATACGCCATGATTAGTATCGAGTTTCAAAATAGATTTGCGTTTGACTGACTGACTGACACATATGAGTAAGGAAAACAACAATACAGTCATAAAAGTTATTCAGTATTGCTTTATATAATTTTCAAATATATTCATAAGAAAATAAATTGTCATTTCATTAAAAATAGATTTTGTTCAAACAACGAAGAATTTACCGATGTCGCAATTTGTTCCTTGCCAACCTCCGGCACATGTACACGTGTACCCGTTCTGTTCGTTGTTACAAGTTGCTCCATTCTGGCATGGATTGCTCAAGCATTCATCAATATCTGAAAAACGTGTAAAAGAATCGTTAAAAGTATGCGTCGATTTATACATAATTTAAAAATACATGTAACTAGTCATTTTAAAAAAAGCTTTACTAAGATGTTGACATAGTTACCGATGTCGCAATTTGTCCCTTGCCAACCTCCGGCACATGTACACGTGTACCCGTTCTGTTTGTTGTTACAAGTTGCTCCATTCTGACACGGATTGCTCAAGCACTCATCAATATCTGAAAAAAAAACGTGTAAAAGAATCCTTAAATATATGCGTCGATTTATACATAATTTAAAGAAACATGTAACTAGTCATTTTTATTTGTTTGGGTCGTCAGATGTTCTTATTTGCAAATGCCGAAAGTAGTCCAAACTCCTCGAAGCGGTTACTTCCCTTCATATGTACATACACGATCACTGCGTAAAGATTGTCAAATGACAGGCGCATAAATTTTCGTAACGAAAGCAATAGGTCTGGAGTTCAAACCTCAGTTCAGGCAGCATTTTTATTATTATTATTATAATTGTTTAAGCCAAATGAACATTGAATATCAGTGTTAGAATTAGTCTTATAGCCAATTAACACTGGAAACAGCATTGGTGACACTATATAGTCTGATTTTATTGACCTGTCAATTATGAATACATTATAACACTCATTTAAATATTCGATCCCACTTCGGTTTTGTCCGTTTATTTTACGAGAATTAATATAGAGCATATGACTAACGTTTGGAAAACTCCCACTAGCTTAATATAGGTTCTCGTAACATCCGCAATAGCACAGTCGGTTAAGTGCATCATTACCTAATGTTTGAGAGTTCCGAGGTTCGAAGCCTTCTTTTGACATTCTTTTTATGCTTATTTTTCTATTTTAATGAAAATTGTCAAGCGCTCGCAAAATTGTCTACACAGATATGAAACAACTAAGAAACATTGACTTGTCACGTTTTATATTGTATTTTATGGCACTGAAATGACATTTATTGATTTTAATCTGAAAGAATTTTTAATATTAATTCTTAAACAATCTTATATACAAAAGTATAGTATTTACCCCAAAAAAATGCTAAAAAATAGTTATGAATGAGAAAAAAACTGGACATACGCTGTCTCGATCTTACAACACGTATAGTGCATATAGATATTATATACCCGTAAATTACCCTATTGCGCTATAACGGTCAGTGTAACTAATTCAATTTAATCATATCTTACTGCATCCATCTCATGGAATTTACCGAACAGTTATCGAATATTAATATATTCTGTGCATTGACCGTATAATCAGTATGGAATTGACAGGTTAATAAAATCAAACAATACAAACAAATTGGTTTATAATTTCACAACCTTCACCTTTCTGACATTCTGAGACCCAAACAAATTCAGCGCCTTCTGTGCTTTGATTTAATGTTTTTACTAAGATGTTAATATAGTTACCGATGTCGCAATTTGTTCCTTGCCAACCTCCGGCACATGTACACGTGTACCCGTGTTTGTTGCTACAAGTTGCTCCATTCTGACACGGATTCCTCAGACACTCGTCAATATCTAATAAACATAAAAACCAAAACCCTTAGAATATATGCGTGGGATTAAACATTTTATGTTGAATTTATTATAAGTCTATATATAGTCTTTGTTGAATCATCCAGCATGTGAAAAATAGGTCGAATCATGAATTTCTAACATAATTCCGTTATTTTCTCATTGAATAGAGGGTAGTTTTTACTATCGATACAGGCAACAGCACAGCAAAGGCGGTACAGTATAACCAGTCTCAGTGGTGTTGTCTCAGCTATAATTATATGAGAAGTTAAATGATTATAATTAGATGTAAAGATTTGTACGGGCGATCACCAGTATTTTTGTTGTAATTATTAGCATGTTGGATTTATTAAATAGGCTTGTCAAGCTTTGAATGTGGAGCAGTCCATTCAAAGCTAAGGGATTTCAATATGAGCAACCACCAGTATCGAGCCGGTTGAGACTGCACGGATGTACAGGCTGGCCAGGTGGTTTACTGGTGACAAAGGTTAACCACTTAAGGTTCCAGCAGGTAGGTTGTTAACTCCGTGTCATATTGTACAAGTTATGTCTTTTTTGTAAATAATACCAAAATATTGAAGAAGTACGCTAAAATCTATACTGTACTTACACAATATAAACACGATTACAAATGATACTCACAGACTTGGGTTGATTTTCTTTCAGAACTATTTTACTTTTCCTTTAGGTTATCAGAAAAATATCATTTTTTTACATTTAATTTACTTTACTGTAATATGTTTGTTTTTCTTGTTATAACCCTGATTTTAATACATTTTGTTTGGTCATATGTCGGTACTCGATGCACTCAACCGGCCTGAATTACTAATTTATTTGTCTACATATAAAGGCGGCGGTTTAATTAATATAATAGCAAATGAAAATAACTCTAAAATTATTAATTGAAGAGTTCTCATTCCTGTAAGATACATTCTTCCTTACAGTTATCTATCCTCGAATAAAGTTTCAAATGAGTATCTAAAACAAAGATGAAGTAAAGTTTTGAACAATGCACTACTTTTTTAACAGAAATATGAACCTATTGAATTTCGATAAAGTTTATATAGAATTTCTTGTGCTGTGAAAATGAGTATTTTTTTGTTATTTTGCAGTGTTTCTAACGGTTATAAAAAAAACCACAGTAAACACAGTTAAATTATCTAAGTTTCAAGCAAATTCCTATAAATGCATTAAAGACTATATATGTTAACTTGTGTACAAAGAGGGATAAAAAAACGAAGAAAAACATACATGATCCTTCGACAGGTATATTACTGAACAGAAGTACTGAAACATAGATCATATAAAGTTGGTAACACAGTATATTCTTCATGTTGCTGTACCTGAAACGTAATAAAAACACAATTTAAGCGACTACCACACTAAAGAACACAATTAAGTTTTAAAGGCACACATGTCTTAAATGCTATAATTTTTATTTCTCAAAAACTTTTTTCATTTCGGTAATTTGATATATACTATTTTGCTACATTTACTTCTTTTGCTCTATCATAATGAATCGAAATTTCAGAGCCTAATGCTGTTAATTGTAAATGCCTTTTTGAAGCGGTTACTTCCCTTTATATGTACAATAACGCCGAAAAATTCAGGGGAGATCAATGCGTAAAGATTGTCAATACAGGCGCATTAATTTTCAAGCAAAGTAGTTCCCGAATGGTCGAAGATTTCTAATATTGTTTCATTCTTTATAGATATACATGCCTACAGTAAGCTCCATGATTACTTACATCTGTGTTTAGCGTCGAAATAATAAGAGTTACAAACCCTAATTTAGAATAATATGGTTTTCTTAGTTTAGTTTAAACATATTTTATTGCATTTAATACATGTTTACAAATATATCATACAAATAAAGAGTATATATCAAAATGCAAATGGGTTGGGCAACAAGTTCTTATGGTTTTCTTCGGGTCGTTAAGTTATAATTTCACCGTGGCCGAAAGGTTTGCACGCTCGCTTATGAATCGAGAGGTCTCGAGTTCAAATCCCAGTTGAAGCAACTCAATTTTTAAAAAAAAATCAAGTCAAATAAACATTGCATTGACTATCAGTGTTGCAATTAGTCTTATAGACAATTTACTACAGTTAAAACACTGGAAAGCATTGGTGGCACTATACAAAAACAAATTGGTTTAAAATCTCACAACCTTCACCTTTCTGACATTCTGAGACCCAAACAAATTCAGCGCCTTCTGTGCTTTGATATTGTATGGAAGACAAAATACGTTGTTTACATTTTGCTACCTTTACGACACATTACTGCACACTACACACAAATCACTTTAGTTGTAAAACATCTAAATAAGCTCTAAATCCATCATTAAAACATTATTAAACACTTGTTTGTCATATCTAAAGATGGTTTTTAATATGGATTTCTAAGATATAATGTGCCGTCAGTTGTTTTAAAGATGACGTTGCATAAAGAATTTTCTTGATACACGAAGGGCCAAATCTTAGTCAAGAACCATAAGCAGAGTCTTACTGCGATTTTACAGTGACCTTAAATAAATTATGATACCGATGATACTAGTGAAGTTTCAAGAGAATACCTTCAGTATTTAATGTTGATGTAGCATACAAAACAATTTATCATGAATTTTCGAAATTCTCGAAGAACAATAATTCAGTTGAGACCCATTTCTGAGTTATGGGTCTTGGAAAGTGACCTTTATTCAGGCAATAGATGTTATGTGGGTTATCCCCCAGCTTATCCGTAAGTACAAACAATTTTTTACTGTTATAGCTTAACGGTGCCCTACCCGTTACAATAGATTAGTCAACCTTTTACACTCGTTCCGAAACTGTGTATATAAAAGTTTGTTTGTACCTACGAATTTGCGTGGACCCTGTGGCTATGGCCAAGGTCACATAAGTTAAAGTTCAGATAAAAAAATCAAGATAAGTTTAGGGGCCATTTAGTTATCATTTATTGAAGGATTGTAACACAAATGGTCATTATCATGACTACCGCCATGGTATTTGTATTTTAGGTTAATTAATACAAGGTCAAGGTCACTAAAGTTTGAATTGAAACATATTTCCGACATGTCTGGAAGAATTTTACTTTATAGAAATGTTCACCATTGTTCAATGAATTGCTTCATACATGATCCAGTTCAAAGTCAAATCACACTTAGAGCTAATTGATATGCATATCTATAATGCCCAGAGCTAATTGCTATGCATATCTATAATGCCCAAATGTCCATCAAAAGCTTTTATGACGGTCGTATTTTTCGACAATGTTGCCCTTGTTTCATAAATTAGTTCTTTGGTATCTTTAGCTAATACACATTCACACGAATGGCACACTGGCCTTGATTACCTGGGGTCCAACTCCAAAAATTGATCACCAGATTTCAAAATCTTGGTACCAAATGTTTTGAGATTTTTTACTCTTAAAGGAAATAAAGCGGTCATTTCAATGATTTTAGATAATAAGTAGATATGTAGTCTCGAAGTTTCCGCATGTGTAAAATAAAAGATGAGACCGCTGGGTTTTTGTAAGAATTACCCGACTTAACGGCAGTTTAAATATGGTAAAGTCATTCTTTAGATGACTACAGGATACTTAAATATACCGGACCATACTTGATAAAACTGGTCAATTAGGTTTCTTTTAATTATCTAAATATAAATATTTCGATTTACAGAAAGATTTGATTTTAAACCGGATGTCTCGGTTCTGAACTGTTCACTATTTAGGGGAGAAGATGTGTAAACGGCCGGATAACTCAGTCGGTAGAGCCGCGGTACGTACGGTATTCTGAGGGTCCCGGGTTCGAGTCCCGGTCAGGCTGCACTTTTTTCTCACCCTGTGACACGGACGATAGGAATTACCCGTGTGCGTAGTAGAAAGTAATGCACATTTAACTCGACAAAGAACTGATGATCCAAAATATATGCGTATATATGCGTATAATTAGGTGTAATAGATTAGTTAATATTTTCATTTCAAAATATTCCAAGCAGTCAACATTTTGGCAGGAATTTAAACATCTTTTTCCCGTAAAATGGTTTGAATCGCATCTACATCTTACATTTGTATGAAACAATAGGAACTTATTATGCGAAAAATAAGAACGAATCAACTCACGTTATCACGTTGGCTGTGCTGTGTGTTGGTATCCTTTGCTACGCTGTTTCGGGATCTGGAACTCCACCGGGTCACTTAATACTTTACAGAGTATATTCCTCGTGCAGAAACTATTACATAAATAACGAAATTAATTAATTAAATTTTTTTGCAAGGTACTAAATTTCACTTACGCCAAGATTTCCTTCGCAAGGCTATGTTAATTGATCAATCGAGCAAATCTTATTTATAGGCTGGTTATAAACACTCACAAAGAATAGCACGAACAATTCGTGAGTAATGGTAATCATGCAGGGTATTTGCGAGAGCGTAGTGAGTACTACGAAGTTCATGGAAAACGTTACGAGCCTTTAACCTGTGAGTCCCAATCATATCCTTTCTCGGAACCTTGTTAAAAAAGCTATTGAACTGTTTCAAGATAACTGTTTATGAGGAACGTCTGGTGTAATCAGTAATCAGCTACTTCAATAAATGACACCGTCACACGATCATCTACATTTTTAGTTATGTATATGTTAGTGTTCATCCGATATGTTAGTGTTCATCCGTGCTGTTCTTACGGGAGCGATAGCGACAGGAGAATGTTTCTAACAGCACGGATGAATACTAACATATTTAGTGTCAAGCTTTATCTGCACTTTATTACGTCACTATGGCGTCACTATGCGGTTCTATGAATTACTCTGAACTATAGAAGTCGACTATGGACGGAATTCTATATAGGCCCGTATTGAGAAACGATACTTAATCTCAATCTCGACTCAAACTCACGAAAGGCCGCCTCAAGTAACGCTGGAGTAGACCGAAGTGGAACAATTTTGTTAAAGAATCAATTACTAAAAATCTTTATTTAAAAGAAAAAAACGAAAAAAAAAAAACGATTTTAAATATATGTTCGATAAAACAAAAGCATGAGGAGAAATTTAAAGAGAATTTAATAATTTTCCAGTAGTAAATGCCAAAATACCAAAATAATGTTGGAAAACCTGAAAGACAGGACAAAAAAAAGAAGCTAAAGAAAGTAGTGAAAGGCTTATAACAGGCACTTAAAACTGTAAAAAGAAATACATTTCAATAACGTTAACTTTATTTTGAAAGAAGCATGCATTTTTTTATGTCCATGAAATTAATTTTGCAATACACAATTATGTTTCCCTTTTTTATCATCTTATGACAGTTTGCCTCAGAAATTCTATCAATTTTATTTCTCAAAATTTTAACTTTTGCAAAGGGTATAATCATATTGCATTATAGGCATAACGTGCTTTTAACAAGACTGTAAAAAATATTAAATCTTTGTCGTTGGTATTTGCAAATATATAATCCTAATCTTTTTAATTTCTTGAATCAAATTCAATGATTTTGTACATAATCCCCCCCAAAAAAAAACAACAACAACAAAAAAAAAAAAAACCCAAAAAAACCAAACAAACAAACAAACAAAACAACCCTGTTTGATTGTGATGCTGTCCAGAATATCTAACAACTGAAGCCGTAAATCATTTATCAGCTGTTATTTAAGTTACAACCTGAATCTAAGTATTGAAACGCCATACTCGATTCTAAAGTAAGTATTTGAGAAGTTAGCAGTTAACAGTGAGCTAAGCAAAAAGGCATTACGATTTATATAGGGAAATCAATGATCTGCTGGTATGCTCAGCTGGCTAAGCAATCTAGCAGGCCATTCCAAAATAAAGTGTAGAAATGCTTTGCTGGTATGCTCAGCTGGCTAAGCAATCTAGCAGGCCATTCCAAAATAAAGTGTAAAATTGCTCTGCTTGTATGCTCAGCTGGCTAGGCAATCTAGCGGGACGTTCCAAAATATAGTGCAAAAATGCTCTGCTGAATTGCTCAGCTGGCTAGGCAATCTAGAAGGGCATTCCTAAATATAGTGCTAAAAGTGCTTAGCTGGCTAGGCAATCCAGCAGAGCATTCCTAAATATAGTTCGAAAAATGCTCTGCTGATATGCTCAGCTGGCTAAGCAATCTAGCAGGGCATTCCTAAATAAAGTTTAAATTCCGTTGGTCTGCAACTGATTATTAGGCACTCGTAGACTTTCTGAAATATTTAGCGCCAATGTAGATAATGACATTTTTGACTTGAGGGACCCTCAAGTGTCTATTTCTTTGGTCTCCGACTGATTCTGGGACGATCGCAGACTTTCAGGAATTTTTGGTGTTAATGCAGATAATGACATTTGTGAAGTTTTAGGACCATCCAGAGTCCATTTCGTTGGTCTGCGAATGTTTTTGGAACACTCGCAGACTTTCAGAAATTTTCGGTGCCAATGCAGATAATGACATTTTACTTCAAAGGGACCTTCCTGAGTCTATTTCGTTGGTCTGCAACTGATTCTGAGTCACTCGCAGACTTTCAGGAATTTTGGTGTCAATGCAGAAAATAATATTTCTGACTTATTGGGACCTTCCTCAATCCATTTATTTGGACTGCGACTGATTCTGAAGCACTCACAGACTTTCAGGAATTTTTGATGTCAAGGCAGATAATGACATTTTTTACTTATAGAGACCATTCAGGGTCCATTTTTTTGGTCTGCGACTTATTCTTTGAAAGTCAAAGACTTTCAGGAATTGTTGGGTCAATAGAGATAATTACAATTTTGACATTTTTGACCATCCAGAGTCGATTTCGTTGGTCTGCGACTGATAATTGGGCACTTGCAGACTTTCAGGAATTTTTGGTGCTTATGCAGAAAATGACATTTTACAGTAAAACTGCTCTGCTTATGACTAAGGGGTCCTTAAAAGTAAAAAAATGTCATGATCTGCAATGGCATCAACGATCCTGAAAGTCTGCGAGTCTCAAGGAATCAGTCGCAGACAAAAGAAATGTACTCTGGCGGTTCCTTTAAAGTCAGAAATGTCATTATCTCCATGGGCATCAAAATTCCTTAAAGTCTACAAGTGTCTCAAAATAAGTCGCAGACCAGCGAAATGATGACTCTGGTGAATCGCTAGAAGTCAAAAATGTCATTACCTCCATTGGCACCACAGATTCCTGAAAGTCTTCGAATGTCCCAGAATCAGTCGCAGACCATAAAAATGAACTCTGGCGGGTCCCTAGAAGTAAAAATTGCCATCATCTCTTTTGGCACCAAACTTTCCTGAAAGTCTGCGAGTGTCCAACAATACGCTGCAGGCCAATGAAATGGACTCTTAAAGGTCCCTAGAAGTCAAAAATATGATTTTTTTTCATTGGCACCAACCATTCCTGAAAGACTGCGAGTGTCCGAGAATCAGTCGCAGACCAAGTCAAAATTGTCAATATCAGCATTGGTACCAAAATTCCTGAAAGTCTGCGAGTGTCCATCAAAATCCCAGGACAATGAAATAGTCTCTTAAAGGTCCTTAGAAGTCAAAAATATCATTATTTCTATTGGCATCAAAATTCCTGAAAGTCTGCGAGTGCCTCAGAAGTGCCTAGAAGTCGAAAATGTCAATAAAACGTTGGCAACAATAAATCCTGGAACTCAGAATCAGTCTGCCAGCAGAGCTTATTAATATATAATTCAGAATGCACCGCAAGATTGCTTATTCAACACAGCATTTTACACTATTTTTCAGAATGTTCTGCTAGGTTGCCTTGCCAGCTTAGCATTCCAGCAGAGCATTTTTACACTATATTTAGTAATGCTCTGCTAGATTGCCAAGACAGCTGAGTATTTGAGTATTGCAGCAGAGCATTTTTACACTATATTTAGGAATGCCCTGCTAGATTGCCTAGCCAGCTTAGCATTCCAGCAGAGCATTTTAACGCTGTATTTAGGAATGCCCTGCTAGATTGCCTAGCCAGCTTAGCATTCCAGCAGAGCATTTTTACACTATATTTAGTAATGCCCTGCTAGATTGCCTAGCCAGCTAAGCATTCCAGCAGATCATGTTTACACTATATTTTGGAATGCCCCGCTTGATTGCTTAGCCAGCTAAGCGTAACAGCAGAGCATTTTTACACTATATTTAGTAATGAACGGCTAGATTGCCTAGTCAGCATAGCATTTCAGCAGAGCATTTAACACTATATTAAGGAATGCTTTGCTAGATTGCCTAGCCAACTTAGCATTCCAGCAGAGCATTTTTACCCTATATTTAGTAATGTCCTGCTAGATTGCCTAGCCAGCTTAGCATTCCAGCAGAGCATTTTTACACTATATTTAGGAATGACCTGCTAGATTGCCAAGCCAGCTAAGCATTCCAGCAGAGCATTTTTACACTATATTTAGGAATGCCCTGCTAGATTGCCTAGCCAGCTTAGCATTCCAGCAGAGCATTTTTACACTATATTTAGGAATGCTCTGCTAGATTGCCTAGCCAGCTTAGCATTCCAGCAGAGCATTTTTACCCTATATTTAGTAATGTCCTGCTAGATTGCCTAGCCAGCTTAGCATTCCAGCAGAGCATTTTTACACTATATTTAGGAATGCCCTGCTATATTGCCTAGCCAGCTTAGCATTCCAGCAGAGCATTTTTTTTTACTATATTCAGTAATGCCCTGCTATATTGCCTAGCCAGCTTAGCATTCCAACAGAGCATTTTTACACTATATTTAGGAATGGCCTGCTAGATTGCCTAGCCAGCTTAGCATTCCAGCAGAGCATTTTAACACTATATTTAGAAATGTCCTGCTAGATTGCTTAGCCAGCTTAGCATTCCAGCAGAGCATTTTTTCTCTATATTTAGTAATGCCCTGCTAGATTGCCTAGCCAGCTTAGCATTCCAGCAGATCATGTTTACACTATATTTTGGAATGCCCCGCTTGATTGCTTAGCCAGCTGAGCATAGCAGCAGAGCATTTTTACATTATATTTAGGAATGCCCCGCTAGATTGCTTAGCCAGCTGAGCATAACAGCAGAGCATTTTTACACTATATTTAGTAATGCACTGCTAGATTGCCTAGCCAGCTGAGCGTTCCAGCAGAACATTTTTTCACTAAAGCTAGGAATGCTCTGCTAGATTGCCAAGACAGCTGAGTATTGCAGGAGAGCATTTTTACACTTTATTTAGAAATGCCCTGCTAGATGCCCAAAACAGCTGAGCATTACAGCAGATCATTTACTTCCCTTTATAAATTGAAATGCCTTTTTGCTTAGCTCACTGTTCACTTCTCACATACGTTTAGTAAAGTGTATTTTACATAAATCATGCTTAACAAATGTTCAAGATATTGTTTTGCTACGTGGATTTT